CAGGGCCCGTTGGCCCTCCGGGGAGGGAGCGGGGCGAGGCCTGCGGCCCGGAGCGCGCCGCGCGTGGTCTCGCAGAGCGAGGGACGGGCGGTGTGTAACGGCCTCAAGGCAAGTGGCGTTAAGCTGCCGAGGAGGCGGCGACTGGGCTCTGCGCTTGTTTTACAAAACGACTCGTTAGTAAAAACCCCGTGAGGCACACGAAGCTTTCTGCTGGAAGCCGGTGTGTGATGTGACCTTAACGCGTGTCCCGTGGTTGGAGGATTTTCAAACCATAGGGACTGGTAGATATGGTGCATTTCCTGAGAAAGGGTTAGTGGTTTCTGACAGCGCCAGGGACTGAAGTTATGCTTCTGTCTCTGAGCTTGCGTTGTCTGTCATGTAGCTCTCTGTGCCTAAAAGAGCTGGTTGTTTCTTGTGTGTTTGACTGTCTCCTGGTTGCCCTTGCTTTTTCTGTAGGTGGGTCTTAGTCTTCCAAAAATTAATTTTTACATGTTGAGCTTCCCTTAAGAGCTTGTACTTGAATTGGTTTATTTACAGTGTCATTGACAAGTGCCTTTGCAGTAAATCTAATTAATAGCTAAACCAGTGAGGATGATGGTAGGTGATACAGGAATTTTAGAAGGCTGACTTCTGTTTTTTCTGCATCAAAATGGTGCTCAGACTGTGTTTTTTCTGCATCAAAATGGTGCTGACTAACATGCTGAATCTCAAAGGCTATCCATTCAGTCTGAAAAGTTTACATGGCCCAAGAGGAGATTGTAATTCCCTGTGTCTCTTACTTTTTTCCAGGCTTGTGATCACCATGGCTGCAGTGGATCGTTTCTGCCTCTTGTACAGAGAGATTAGTCGTTCCTGCAATTTTTACATAGAGGCCCTGGCTATAGTTGGAGCTTGGTACACAGTCAGAAAGTGTGTGTCTCTGGCTTTTGACACTTACAGCATGCTTAGGTTGCATTTAATTCCAAAGCTGGGCAGTAAGATTGATCTTGTCAAGCAGTATGGAAAATGGGCCGTGGTCACTGGTAAGAGACTGAAGCAGTATATTTGCTTACGTTTATATAACATACTGTGCCAGTACTGTAAAACTTGCTAGCTTACATTGCTGGATGAGCTTTACGTCACAAGCTGGGGCCTGTATTATCTCAGGTTGCAAGTTAATCTGCTTGAACAGTGACAGTGGTTTAGTGCCTTACTGAATTCAGTTTCTCAGGAGATGGGCAAGCCTAATGTGTTGTCTGACTGCTGGGAAAGAATCACAGAGCAATCTTTCCCAAAAATCGCAAGGTACACCATGAACACATAAAGCATAGACAGAGATGCAGACAAAATCCTTTTTTTGCTATGGGCTTTTAACATGTGCTCAAGTTCTTCAACAAGGTTTAAGTCATGTATCTGACATTCTCGCCTTTCATTAAGGTTCTACACTAAGGTCTCTATTGTCAGCGTTTATGAGGTGGGATTGCAGCAGGTTGCCACTGACAATGTCTTTAATGTTGTGGCTTTGAGATCAGCATATTCAGCTGATCTTCAGAGAACGGCATAAAGTTGTGCTTGAAAAAACTGTCAGTATAGAGGACTAGGGCTGCTATGATTCTCACCTTGTTTTTTAATTTTCTATTGCAGGTAGCACAGATGGTATTGGGAAGGCGTATGCTGAAGAACTGGCAAAGCGTGGTGTCAACATCGTCTTAATCAGCCGAAACAGAGAGAAGCTGGAGGCTGTAGCTAGGAGCATATCTGAAACCTATAAAGTGGAAACAGTTTTTGTAGTAGCTGACTTCAGCAAGGGGCCTGAGCCTTCCCCAGCCATTAAGGAGGCTCTGAAAGACAAAGAAATTGGGATTTTGGTGAATAATGTAGGAATGTTTTATCCCTACCCAGACTATTTTACCAACCTGTCTGAGGATATGCTGTGGGACACGATCAATGTAAATATTGTTTCTGCTAGCATGATGATACATATTGTGCTGCCAGGCATGGTGGAAAAGAAGAAAGGAGCAATTGTGAATGTTGCTTCTGGCAGCTCTTGTCATCCGACGCCACTGTTGTCAATCTACTCAGCCTCTAAAGTAAGTTGGGGTGTTATGGCTAATGGTATGCACCAAAAAGTAGATGCGTTATAGGTTGGTTGTGGAGTGTTTTTTTAAAACCCATTCAGCAGGGATATAAAAATATCTGAAGGTTTTCTAGGGTGTTGCTCGAATATTAGAGGTGAATGTTACATGTATTACGCAGCAAACTATCCTTATCCATACTGGGCTTTGAACCAAAGTCAGTGCTATTTGGATTATGTGTGAACTGTGGCATAACAGTAGTTCTAGGAGAAATGTTGCCTTCCTCAGAGGAATGATGCAAAAAGCAAAGTGACAATTCTGTGACTCGCTGAAAGGGTCAGGAATTTCATCTCCCTCTTCAGCTGAACTGTGCAGATGTATCTCAAGCTACTTAGATGCTAGTATTTGGTAGCAAGAGGGGCTATACTCGTGCTGAAGCCACCAGTGTGACAAGGGCTGTGGCCAAATCAAGCCAATGCTTCACCTAACATCAAGAGGCAGAAGGCTTCTTACACCATTGCCTGCACCGTGTCTGGGGAGAAGTAAAAACAACTTCCCCCCCTGCCCCCCATAATTGCTCTTCCTGAGGAGATCCAGTCAGTAACGAATAGGATGGGGCAGCTGGGTAATGCTGGAAGTATGATTGCACGTGGGGATGCGGATTTATGCTGGATGACTTGCTGCTGAATCCACAAAAGCAACTGAGATTGCAGCAGGATCTTGTCTCCATCCAGTGCCTAAACACAAGTGGTTATTGCTCCCAGGCATGGATAGCTGCCCTCTGCTGTAGCCTAACTCCGTGCAGCCTTGCTCCTGGGAGAGCTCTTGGAGTACCTCCTTTTGCCTAGAACAAACCAGGTCTTACTACCCCAAGGTGTAAAATTCCTTGCAAATTTTTTTCAGTGTGGAAACTGGCTTAAGTTTCCTATTTCTGTTGCAGAATATCTCCCCCCTTGGTTATGCGAAGTGTATGCAGAACTGAATTCTGAACTAAAACAATTGAAAGGCCCAAATTATAAAGAACAGAACAAAACTGAGAGTACCAAAGTTTCTTCCCTTAGCTGCCATCCTTAATCCAAATCCTAGGTTAACGACCCAGTTTAAAGCCTGGCCTCTGTACGGTTACATTGGCACCGAAGTGGGAACAAGCTGCTCTAGCATCCTAAGCCTCTTTGTGCGTTAACAGCGTAAGGTGTGTTTGAAGTGGTTGGTTTGTTTTCCTAAAGCAGGTGTAAGAGCATTTGTAGAAAATGCTTTCACAAGCTTGCTGAGAATAGCACTTTTGTGAGGCTGTTTGGGAGCAGAAACCCTTTCTAACTGAGTCTAAAATTCTCTTTCTTGGGGGTAACTGGCAGTGTGGCACAGCAGCAGGTTCAGCATGGTATCGGTGTTGCCTTAATAAGACTGAGCCATGCTTGTTTCCCATCTGTTTACAGGTTCAGCATGGTATCGGTGTTGCTGCCTTGATAAGACTGAGCCATGCTCGTTTTCCCATCTGTTTGATTCCAGTGATCCCAGTTACCAGGCTTGTGCTTTTTCATGTTATTCTGTGGAAGTACAGTGAACCAGAGGAGATCATACAGCCACACATAAACAAATGCAGGTTTAATTTTGCAGAAGGAAGTTGCAGGAAGTAATTAACCTAGCTTCTGGGAAAGATGAGTATGAAATTCACTTGTAAATGGATTAAAGAATGTGACTTCATTTTGTCCTTTTGGCACTCGTACGTGTAGCTCGCTTTGGAGTGTCCCCTGCAATGTCCCCAAACTAAACAAGGTGTTTGATTTAGATGATCTAAATGCTTCTGTGGTGGTGGTGTGTGCTGGGTTTTTTTTTGTTTGTTTGTTTGTTTTTAAAGCAGAAATTGTCAGATTGTTTGTTAAATTCACTTTGGAGAGTTAAGCTGTGTCCTGCAAGTTACTAAACACTTGCAGGGTTTTAACAAACAAATAGAACCAATGTTGGTAATACGTTACAAATGTGTATTTTCATAGTATTTATTCAAGGTTTTACTTCTTTAGCTAAAACATGCTGCAACTTTTCTGTAACTTTAATAGAACTCTGCCCTAAGACTTGATTTTTTTTTTTTCCTTTTCTCTAAAAAAAGAAAGGAAAAAAGATTTCTGTCTCTGCTTTTGTCTTTTTAGACCTACTTGGACTATTTGAGTAGATCACTACATTATGAGTATGCCTCCAAAGGAATTTTTGTTCAGAGTTTAACGCCATTCCTGGTTGCTACAAAACTGGTAGCATGCAGCAGCATTGCATCAAAGAGGTCTTTTTTGGTTCCTTCCGCTGAAGAATATGCAAGTCATGCTATTACTACTCTTGGGTTATCCACAAGGACTGCTGGTTACTGGCAGCATGCAATAGAGGTAATAGAATTCATTAAATATTTCGTATTTGCCAGTAGAAGTAACTAAGCTCTGTACTTTCTTAGGAGTCTGAATGAAAACTATGCTCGTCTTCCGAGAAAGTGCAATATATATTGGAGGGCTTAAAGGCATTGTGCCGTATCTTCTCACTAATTCTGCTTTAGAATATTGACATTTATTTTTAGGAGGAGAGTGTGAATCCATTTCCCACCCAAAATGCGCAGCAAAATGGGAAAGAGACAATTTCATACGGAAAAGCACAGAGTGCCTCATTTCACTTGGTGTTGCTGAGTGGGCAGGCATTTCACGGTCTTCTGTGAACAGAATTAACTGTTTTCAGTCTTAATTTATTGAGGTTTTTTCTGCTTTGAGGGGAGGCTGGGCAAGGAAGGGGGGGAGAGTGGTGGGTGGGGGGTGGGGGAGGGGGGGGGAAGCCCACATTTTTATCCTAAGCTACCTGGAAGCAGGTCCTCCGTATCTTAGGTTTTCAGTATTGGGGGCAGACCTCGGGGTCCAAAGTAATTTTAGGAACACTGGTCACATCTCATGTGTCCTACCTAGTGGCTTTCTATAGGTCGAGTTGGAAGGAATTGAAGAAGTGAGGATTAGTCAAAAGGAATAAAAGAGACGGGAAGGATTGTTGCAACGTGGCAGCTAAGGAAAGCAGACAGTAGTGCTGTTGCGAACTTGAAAAAAAAAAACCAAACAAACACTTCAGGATTTAATTGTAGAATCCAACTGTTCAGCTGTGTGCACTGCTTCCAAAATGGCTACGTATATTTACTTCTAGGGCTTTGAATTTAAGGCTTAGTTGCTGTTGTTCAAGCAAGTTTTTGCCTTGTTTGAGTGGTAATTTGAGAAACTGTTTACTTTAATGGAATATATCTTAATATGTCCCTTCCTTCCTTCTTTTTCTCTTCTCTCCCTGTGCCTCTCCGCAGTTCACGTTGGGTGAGTGCATGCCTGAATGGATCTGGGCATGGATGTCAGCGTATGTTCTCAGAATGCTATGCAAGCAAGCTTTAACATGCAAAGTAAAATAGGAGCATCTGGTTGTTCTGCATAACGAGTGCTCTGCTCTGATCTGAGTGCTGCAACCCCGTTGGGTGAACCTTGGTGGACTTAGCGTAACCTACCCGTACTTTGCTAAACAAGCTGTGTGTAACCTAGACATCACAGAAGTCTGGATCCTCTCTGTATCCTTGTATTAAATGGCTCCTCCGCTGCTTTCCTCCATAAAAAAAGAGCTGATCTGGTTGAAGTTAATCTCTGTTCACTTTTCTTTCCAGGGTGACTGGGCAGGAGCAGGTGTAGTTTTAATGCTGACAGTAAGTGACTGTCTTGCGTAGTGCTCCATGATGTCAGTTTGCAAAGTTGACGTGATTTGAGAATTCTGTTCCAACAGCACTGCCCCCTGTGAGGCTTTTATGAGGAGGTTTTGTTAAGGAAAGTATTCCAAGCTTTCCTGACGGTGAATATTCTGTTGGGATACCCACTGTATTTCCTAGGCCATGTAGGAAGATCCTGATGCTTGAATTGCTGTCCAGAGGGAAATCTAGGCTGTGATGTGTATAATGAAGGAGCGCCCTCCCTTGATGCTTTGTTAATGTTCCGTTGCTGCAGCCCTACATCCTCACTCCTTCTGGGGAGAAGGAGGGAGAAGACGAGTAAGGGGCAGGGACCCATGAAGTGGTTTTGGCTGCTGCTGACCCCAACTTCAGCTGGCCCTGAAAGCTGTGCAGTATAGAAATATGCATTCCATTTCTAAAAATGACTTATGCTTGTTTGCAAATGGGATTTAAACGAAAGCATTTATTTTTTAGCAAAGGCTTAAACGAAGCTCGAGCACCGTGAAGCTGTGGAACGTCCGCTGTGGAACTTCCCATCTCTCCATCAGGCACTGCCTGCCTGTCCCTCTCGGTAACATCTGCGTCTTGAGTTCTCCTGGCAGGAGTTAGACCCCACTCAGCCATATCTGGATAATGGGATTCTCGAACACCCTTATTCAGAAGGCGGCTGCTGCGCGGCCTCCTTACCGACCCCAGCGGGAAGCGCCTCACGGTGCCATCCGGTATCGCTAGGCCTCTGCCTGTACCGCCGCCATTGCGACCCACCCGCGCATGCGCCCCGCACCACACCACCCGCCTTCAGCGCCGTGCGCATGCGCCGGCCTCGCTGGGCTGCGTGGGGCTCTCGCGAGAAGGCTGTGGTAAACAGCGCACAAAATGGCGG